CCTTCCTAAAATATCAAATCTAACTTTCTCTTTTTGTTTTTTGTTTTCCTGTGAATTTCTCATATCACTCTTCATTCATCTTCTTCTGGGCAACTACTAGTAGCTAATCTACCCAAAACTATTTTTCATTTTTCATTTTTTGCTCGTTTCTTAGTATTTGTCCTTCAGTTTCAATCCTCTGAGAGTTGGGTGATCTAAAAGGTAACAACTTTCTTTTTGTATCTAACATTTTCGTTACAGTTGACTTGACTCAAATCATTATCAGAGCTTGAGATCGTCAAACCAAATCTGCTCTTGTTTTCCCGATACATCGGATTAATTATTGATTTTAGTCATGATCAAAGTTTCGATTTCTTTTTGCTGGGTATTGACGTGATTGCTGATTTTATCGAGACCCTCGAGTTAAAACAAGAGGTTCCTTCATCTAATGGAACAAAAGATTCGATTTTGATCTATCAAATATGTGTTCAGTGTGATTTATTCGATTTGATCGGAACCTAGAGAAGCAGTTTAGGATCGGAGACACACTGATCAAATCTTTACATGTGTTGTTTAAATGAAATGTTTGGGTTCTAAAAATTGAGGCTTTTGATGATTACAAAACCAATCTTGTAAATTTGGTTTCTTTTGACTTTTCTTCTGCAATCGGTAAATGTTTTAAGTATGTGTGTTTCTCTCTGCAGTTGCAATGGCTGAGGAGGATGTTTCACAAGTAGATGACAAGTGTTGTTCGGATGATGAAAAACCAATGGAGATCATTGGAGAAACCTATGCGGAAACAATGCCTGTAATGGATGAGGAAATTGAAGGAGATGATGTTCTTCTTCCTCCTCCTGCTGCGGTACCCAATGAGATCAATCATGTGATTGTGAGACGGTGTTCTTCGACTAGAGCGTTAGATAAACGAGGAGGACCGAGTAAAGCTCAGATTCAAACCCGTTACCGCGGGAACCAAATGAGTTCGACTCATGATCTGTGTAAGCATGGGAAGCGGCGTGAGGATGATTTGGTGATCAAACCTTGGAACTTGGTTAAGAAGAAGAATGTTGAAGGTGGAGATTTGGGAAAAGTTGAGACTTTGGGTGTGATTAGGAAGTCGCTGGGAAATGTTTCGAAACCCGAGAAGTCATTGCAGGTTGCAAAGAGAGAAGCGGGTAGTGAGGTTGTCAAATCTTGTGATGGTTTACGCGCTAAGAGAAGCGAAACAAAGAGTACTACTACCCCGAGTGATTTTCCAGCTGTTGTTGTAAGAAAGGTCAAGAAGACAAATCTTGATGTTAAGAAGGTTCCAAGGATCAGCGAGAACGGGACTTGTAACGAGGATCTTTCAAAGAATCATAAGAACAAAGAGAAGACCAAGATTGATGAACCGGTTAGATGTGATGATGTATTGGAGAAGAAGGTTTCAGGGATCAGTGAGAACAAGAGTTCAAAAGAGGATCTTCCGAAGAATCTGAAGAACAAAGAGAAGACTAATATTGATGAACCGGTTAGATGTGAAGATGTATTGGAGAAGACTTTATATGTTTTTGAACCTAGTATTG